TTATATATATAAGAAATTCTCATATATATAAATAAAAAATATATAAGAAACATCTGATATAGTGAAGAGAAGGTATGGAGCGGGGGGATATCACTCAGAAGAGGGAGCTCAGTAAAGAGGGGGTACTGATAGGGAAGTGTATTTCAGAAGAGGGAGCTCTGTGAAGGGAGGTTACTAACAGGGAGGATATCTCTCAGAAGAGGGAGCTTGGTGAAGGGGGTTAGTGACAGGGGGATACCTCTCAGAAGAGGGAGCTCAGTGAAGGTGGGGTAGTGATAGGGGGATCACTTTCAGATGAGTTCAGTGAGGGTGGATATTTAGATGGAGGATATCTCTCTTAGAGGGAGCTCAGTGAAGGGGGATATCTCTCAGAAGAGGGAGCCCAGTGAAAGGGAGTGTAGTGACAAAGGGGAAATCACTCAGTAGAGGAAGCTCAGTGAAGGGAAATACTGAGGGGGTTATCTCTGAAGAGGGAGCTCAGTGAATCGGGGGGTATTGACGGGGATATCTCTCAGAAGATGGTGCTTAGTGAAAGGGGAGTAGTGACAGGGGACATATCTCTCAGAAGAGGGAGCTCGTGAAGGGGGGTAGTGACAAGGGGATATCTCTCAGAAGCAGCAGCTCAGTGAAGGAAGGGCAGGGAGAGGGGGGATATCTCTTAGGGAGCTCAGTGAAGGGGAAGGTAGTGACAAAAGGAAAATCTCTCAGAAGAGGGAACTCAGTGAATCTCTCAGAAGAGGGGTACTGACAGTGGGGATATCTCTAGAAGAGGGAGGTCAGGGAACAGAGGTTAGGGAGAGGGGGGATAGCTCTTAGAAGAGGCAGCTCAGGGGTGCCTGGGTGGCTCAGTGGTTAAAGCCTCTGCCTTCAGCTCAGGTCATGATCCCAGAGTCCTGGGATCGAGCCCCGCATCGGGCTCTCTGCTCAGCGGGGAGCCTGCTACCTCCTCTCTCTCTGCCTGCCTCTCTGCCTACTTGTGATTTCTGTCAAATAAACAAATAAAATCTTAAAAAAAAAAAAAAAAAGGAAGAGGCAGCTCAGTTAAGGTTGAGGAGTGACAAGGGAGGGTATGGGGGGGTATCTGATATATCTGTATAGTAAAGTCTATAGTTCTTACATATATAAATTATAAATTCTTATATATAAGAATTTCTTATATGTAAGAAATATCTGATACAGTGAAGGGAGGGTATGGAGAGGGGGGATATCCCTCAGAAGAGGGAACTCAGGGGCGCCTGGGTGGCTCAGTGGATTAAAGCCTCTGCCTTCGGCTCAGATCATGATCCCAGGGTCCTGGGATTGAGCCCCACATCGGGCTCTCTGCTCGGCAGGGAGCTTGCTTCCTCCTCTCTCTCTCTCTGCCCGCCTCTCTGCCTACTTGTGATCTCTATCTGTCAAATAAAATAAAATCTTAAAAAAAAAAAAAAGAAGAGGGAACTCAGTGAAGGGGATTACTTACAGGGGGATATCAGGAAAGGGAGCTCGGTGAATGGGGGGGTTCAGATAGGATAGCTCTCTGATAGTTGTATGGGTCATATCTGTCAGAAGAGGGAGCTCAGTGAAGGGGTGTAAGGAGAGGGGGTATATCTCTCAGCAGAGGGAGCTCAGTGAAGGGAGTTACTGGGGGGGGCGGTATCTCAGGACAGGAAGCTCAGTGAAAGGGAGTTTCTGAGAGTGGGGTATATCTCAGAAGAGGGTCCTCAGTGAAGGGAGGGTAGGGAGTGGGGGCTATCTCTCAGAAGAGGGAGATCAGTGAAGGGGAGGGTAGTAAGAAAGGGGAAATCTCTCAGAAGAGGGAGCTCAGTGAAGCAGGGGTACTGACCAGGGGGATACCTCTCAGAGGAGGGAGCTCAGTGAGGGGGGTTAGTGACAGGGGGGATATCTTTCAGAAGAGGGAGATCAGTGAAGGGAGGGTAGGGAGAGGGGGGTATACCTCTCAGGTAGTGACTAGGGGATATCTCTCAGAAGATGTAGCTTGGCGAAAGGGCAGTCATGACAGGGGGATATCTCCCAGAAGAGGAAGCTCACTGAAGGGGAGGGTAGTGACAAAGGGAAAATCTCTCAGGAAAGCGAGCTCAAGTGAATGGGAGTACTAAGAGGGGGGATATCTCTCAGAAGCTCAATGATGGGGTTTCTGATGGGGGGATATTCACGGAAGTGGGAGCAAAGTTAAAGGAGGGTAGGGAGGGGTGGTTATCTCTCAGAAGATGGAGCTCAGTGCAGGGGTGGTAGTGACAGAGGAATATCTCTCAGAAGAGGGAGCTCAGTGAAGGGGGCACTGACTGGGGATATCAAAAGAAGAAGGAGCTCTGTGAAGGGAGGGTACTGAGAAGGGTGAAATCTCTCAGATAGTGACAGGGGGATATCTCTAGGAAGAGGGAACTCAGTGAAGTGGGGTTACTAACAGGGATATCTCAGAAGAGGGAGCTCTGGTAAGGGAGAGTACTGACAGGATCTCTCAGAAGACGGAGCTTACTGAAGTGAGGGTACTGATGGGGGGGATATCAGAAGAGGGACCTCAGTGAAACGGGGGTACTGACGGGGGGCATATCCCTCAGAAGAGGGAGCTCAGTTAAGATTGAGTAGTGAAAAGGAGGGTATGGGGGGTATCTGATATATCTGTATAGAGAAGTCTATAATTCTTATATATATAAGAAATCTCATATATATAAATAATAAATATGTAAAAATATCTGATATAGTGAAGGGAGGGTATGGAGCGGGGGGATATCACTCAGAAGAGGCAGCTCAGTGAAGGGGGCGTAGTGACCAAGGGGAAATCACTCAGAGGAGGGAGCTCAGTAAAGAGGGTGCACTGATAGGGAAGTGTATTTCAGAAGAGGGAGCTCAGTGTAGGGACGGTATGGGGGCGGGGGATATCTCTTAGAAGAGGGAGCTCCATGAAGGGAGGTTACTAACAGGGAGGATATCTCTCAGAAGAAGGAGCTTGGTGAAGGGGGTTACTGACAGGGGGTAGCTCACAAGAGGGAGCTCATTGAAGGGGGGTTAGTGACAGGGGGATATCTCTCAGAAGATGGTGCTTAGTGAAAGGGGAGTAGTGACAGGGGACATATCTCTCAGAAGAGGGAGATCGTGAAGGGGGGTTAGTGACAGGGGGATATCTCTCAGAAGAAGCAGCTCAGTGAAGGGGAGGGTAGTGACAAAGGGAAAATCTCTCAGAAGAGGGAACTCAATGAATCTCTCAGAAGAGGGGTACTGACAGTGGGGATATCTCTAGAAGAGGGAGGTCAGTGAACAGGTTAGGAAGACGGAGGATGGCTCTCAGATAGTGATGGGGGTATATCTCTCAGAAGAAGGAGCTCAGTTAAGGTTGAGTAGTGACAAGGGAGGGTATGGAGAGGGGGGATATCTGTATAGTAAAGTCTATAGTTCTTATATATTTCTTATATATAAGAATTTATAATTTGTATATGTAAGAAATATCTGATATAGTGAAGGGAGGGTATGGGGTGGGGATATCCCTCAGAAGAGGGAGCTCAGTGAAGGGGGTTACTTATAGGGGGATATCAGGAAAGGGAGCTCGGTGAATGGGGGGGCGGTTCAGATAGGATAGCTCTCTGATAGTTGTATGGGTCATATCTGTCAGAAGAGGGAGCTCAGTGAAGGGAGGTACTGGTGGGGGATATCATCAGAAGAGGGAGCTCCGTGAAAAGAGGGTATGGAGAAGGGGGGATATCTCTCAGATAGTGACAGGGGGGCTATCTCTCAGCAGAGGGAGCTCAGTGAAGTGGGGGGTACTTACAGGGGGATTTCTCTCTGAAGAGGGAGCTCAATTTCAATGTTCTTACTCCAGAGCTGAAAGGGTTTGTGCTCCTCCCTCTGTAGCAGCTACACTCTGAGCTCCTGTTGCTGGAGACTAGAATTCTTCCAGCTATTCTGGCATCCCCTGTCTAGACACATCTGTGCATAAACCAGCTCAGCTTCCACATCATACTGACATAACTCCTATAAGCTACGTGGTGGTACAGAAACAGACTTCCCTAGAAATACATACTTCCCTCCACCTTCTTTTCCTATAACCTGTGGGGGAGAAACAATCTCTCTACTTCTAGACCTTGCTATCTGTGTATTGAGTAGGAAAAGCCGCTCTGATCGTTTCTGACCCGTGGGACAACTACGAGGAAAGCCCCCACTGAGGAGTAGGGCCTGTTTGTGTTGTTCGGTTTTAAAGCAGAGCTAGGACTTCAGAATAACCTACAAAGGCCGGGGCAAGCTCTCAGTCAGTGCATACAAGTCCGTGCCGACCGAGTACAGACCGTACGCCAGGGGCTAGGCTGAGCCCTTTGCACGTTTCCCTCATTTCAATCCTAAAAGGGCACTTTGTGAATGAGTCTACTCTTAAACTCACTTGTAGGTGAGAAAAGCCAGGTAAGAGCGTCATCACTTGCCCCAGGTCACACAACCACTTGGCAATAGTAGAAACAAACTCTATCAACCTCAGTGAAATAGCAAAAGTAACCGAGAGAATAGGTTTAGAGTTCCTCAGGACCCCTGGGGGTTGACTATAAAGGCCTGGCATCTCGGGTCTGGTCTGGGCTATCTCTTCCCCCCCACCCCCCAGCTCACACCATAAACTCCTCATGTGAACACCAGCTGCTACCCGCCTCTGTCCAGCTCTCAGGATGCCCCCTGAGATTCCAACATAGCCTGACCCCGGGAAGAAGAAGCAAGGGCAGCACATTCACCCTCTTGAGTTTATAATCCAGACGTAGCCCTTCAAAATTCACGGTCCTAGCGTCCCTTCATTATGTCAGGAATATCCAAAGGGTTGCCCACCACCAGCTTCGCTCAGGGGTACTGCTGTGTGTCTGCTGCGATCCCTCAGATAAGCAACTCCTCTCGAAGCTGTCTATGGACATTTTCACATCGAAGCTATATTTAGAAGCTCTTAACACGGAGTGATCCAGTTCACCAACCCCCAAGTCAAACACAGAACAGACCAGGGTAGGAATCAGCCCCTGAGAACAATGGAAACTCACTTATATAAGCTGATGGTTGGCTCCACGGCCAACATGACGAAGGGTGCGACGGTGTAAGAGACAGCCAGCTGAGTGACCGCCCAGGTGACCACATCATATGCAACCTGGAGGGCTTTTGAGGAACGGAAGTAATGGCGGAAGTTGTTCCTCACCTGCAAGTCAAGGAAGGCAAAACCGGAGGTGGGCATGAAAAATAAAAACTTTTATTTTGTGCATGTAGGCCATATACTTCAGGAATACAGGCGATCCAAAGTACCATTATGGTTTTTATTATTATTATAAAAATACTTATGTCCAAAGAACAAAGAACTAAGCCAAAAAATTTATTTTTTGGACCTCTCCTCAGAAAAAGCACTGTTTATAAACTTGGCACATAACCTTCCAAGCCTTTCTCTACTCAACATACCCATATTTGTATTTTCACTGATGGCATGGATTTTCTAGCCTTTTTTTTTTCCACTTAGTAATGCATCAAAAATCTTATTCCATGTCAGCAAACATTAATCTGATACAATTTTAATTATGGAAAATTTCGCTTTCCCATAATTAATTTGTAGGTCTTTTGACATATGGGACTAGATGGGCCTCCAGAAAGAAACCTAATTCCCAGATCCAAGAATCAAAGGCTCGGCTAAAACAATGGCATGCTCTGAGGTAGGTTAAAAACTCCTTCTTGGCCCCAAGTTCAAGAGAGAGCCAGAGCTCCCTCCAGTGGGAATGCATGAGTGGTATCAGAAAGCCCGTAAGACATTTTATTAGAGTTCATTCTCCTGGGAAGCCTGTTCTATCAACCCTCTCTACCCTCTACCTAACTCATTTGCAAAAAATATTTCCAGGCCATCCAAAAGAAAGGCTTGATATAAATCAATGCTTTTATACCAGCTGAGATCACAGAGCTAAAGACATCTTCAGGAATAATACTCTGGATATATTAATAAAATTCTCGTCCTTGTTTTAGTGTGTCCCAGCCATCTGTTCTTTACTTTTATAATCTAAGTAGGTAGATGAATGGCAGAAGAGAAAATGTGTTCTGTTTCCCATGTACAATACATACTTTATTCGAAAAGTACGCTGATCAGCATAAGTTGTAATCAGTTATCATTCTTGTTCATCATATATTCCAGCAAACATTCACCTAATTAAAACACGAATTCCGCTGGGAAGGGACTCTTGTTCACTGGGGTATCCCAGTGCCTAGAACCTAAACTGGCACATAGGCGGGCTCCGGAAATATTCATAGAATACATGAATTAAAGAATGAGTGAATAGCTCTGTTGGTGCTCCTAAATTCACACCCAAAATAGAGTTTGACAAATGTCATTAAAAATTCCTGGCATCTGAATAAGGAAAGCCATGATCATTTTCAAATTGCGACTAAATCAAATACAAAACCCTATTTGACAATCAGAACGTGCTGAGCTACAATTTCTTACATTCATGCTCCTCTCGTTCTTTAAGGGTAGGCATATCTTTTATGTCTTTATCGTCCTACTCTATACCCAGCAGATGATAGCAACACTCTAGGACAAACTGAAGGCTACCTCAAAAACCTAGAGAACCAAATTTATAAAATTCACAAAGAATTTTACACAAATTTACTGGCCTCTCAGGCCTGAGAGCATGAAAAGTTAGAGCAATCTCTGACAACACAGTTCCAATGATTACAAGTTTACCGTCTGCACAGACTGAATTATTTCTAAACTTAGGCTAATGAACTAAGAAATTAAGAGGACTATAAGCAAAATGAAGCCTATAGAACCCCAATTACTAATCTTCACCTGTAATTGGCAGACTTTTCGTTTAATGATTAAAAATATTCTCAGCCTCTAAAGAGATAGGTCCCTGGGTAGTTCAGTCAGCTGAACATCCAACTCTTGGTTTCGGCTCAGGTCATGATCTCAGGGTTGTGGGATCAAGCCCCAAGTTAGGCTCCATGCTTAGCACAGAGTCTGCTTGTCCTTCTCCCTCTACCCCCCGACCCCCACTCACACGCTCTCCTTTTTTTTTTTCTTTTTTTTTAAAGATTTTATTTATTTGTCAAAGAGCACAGGCAGACAGAGTGTCAGAGGGAGAAGCAGGATCCCTGCAGAGCAAGGAGACCGATGCGGAACTTGATCCCAAGATGCCGGGATCATGACCTGAGCTGAAGGCAGCCGCCTAACCAACTGAGCCACCCAGGCGTCCCACATGCTCTCCTTTTAAAAAAAAGTTTTCATCTTTTTAAGGTATTACACATTCATTACTCCTAAAATTCCTTTTGTTTTGCAAACACCGTCTATAAATAACATGTAGATAGTTCATTTTATGGCCCACAATTTCTATATATTAAAGTATTTCTCTAATGGTGAATAGAGGCATCAGATGATTAAGGAAAAGCTCCTACAACCAAAAGAAGCTTACCGTTCTAGCTGCTACTGTGACGAGAATTCCAGTTAAGAAGGTAAAATAGTATCCAGGATAGACACCATGCCACAGGGCAGACAAGATGAAGGTTAGTACCGTGGGGTACCAAGGAACCCGTTCATAACATACTCTGTGGAGAGAGGAAGGAACGAGTTATAGGTCAGACCAGAAGCGTCTACCTATGCTTGCGTCTTCAGACCATCCAAAAATCATTTGATCAATTCCCTATCAGGGACTTCCAATACAATCCCAGCAGCCTGAACTCCATGTCCTGAATGCTACCACAGGCCATTCACAGTCCAGTCATTTGGGGAAAGGAAAATGAAGTTTCAACCTTTGATCTGCATGGAACTAAATGATCTAGACATCATCATACTATATCTAAAAAAGTTCAAGTGGTCACTCTATGCCTTACAGAAGCTTATTCCACCAATACCCTAATCTATCAGGAATACTTATGGTTAAGTGCCACGGGCACTAAAAATTCTTATCCAGATAGCATCTTTAGAAGCAGATATCCTCATCCAATCAAAATTAATTCATCTTTCCAACATGGCCCCTTTGCCACCAAACTAGCCAACACAGCACACCTTTTCCTCTCTCTTGGCAATGACTCTAGCACAAACTCAGTGTGTTAGCTACATGACTTTTCAGATCTTACAGTGTCCACGGGATTTCAATCCATGAATTTGCTTTAAAAAGTGATACTGTGAGGGTTTGGAAGTTGTCTGCAGATAACATGAAGATCTTTGACCCTTGGTTGTTTATTAAAACAAATTCAATCTATAAATCGCCAATGGCACCATGTGGTTTAGTAAACAAGAGGACCCAAATACAAAATAAAATAGGAATTCAAATAGTAAACACCAATGCAGCTCTGTATGGGTTGTCAAAAGTAACTGATCTGAACCCAGACTGGAGATTATGGCTCCCTTTTCATACAAAGAAAGAGCATGCATCTGGGGGGAGAAACACAGGACTGGGATGCCCCTTGCAAGGTTTCTTTAAAACAGGGTAGTTTGGGGCACCTGGGTGGCTCAGGTGGTTAAGCATCTGCCTTCGGCTCAGGTCATGATCCCAGGGTCCTGGGATCGAGTCCCGTATTAGGCTCCCTTCCCCCTCTCCCGTTCCCCCTGCTTGTGTTCTCTCTCTGTCTCTCAAATAAAATCTTAAAAAAAAAAATGGGGTAGTTTGCCCAGGTATTTGTTTCTTACACTCTTTATTGTTAGTACAAATAAGATATTTCATTTTCTAAAATAATTTTTTAATTTTTTTTTCATTTATTATGTGCTCATGTATGTTCAGTCATCTTAGAACATAAACTCCTAATGGAGATGGTGACTTCCATCTAAACCTATCCTTGGTACACTGGGATTACCTAATATACAGAAATAGAGTTTTATGCTAAAATTATTGTCAAAATACAGGGCTCCTGGGTAGCTCAGTCCGTTAAACATCTGCCTCCAGCTCAGGTCATGATCCCAGGGTCCTGGGATCAAGTCCTGCATTGGGCTCCCTGCTCAGTAGGGAACCTGCTTCTCTCCCTCTCCCTCTCTGTTATTCCTCCTGCTTGTGCTCTTTTGCTCTCTGTCAAATAAAAGCTTTAAAAATAAAAAAGTATTGACAAAATTAATAGCAATAATAGGTGCAAATAACCCAAAATCGCATGTCCAGATCAACCTTCAGATGATAGACCATGAGCTCACTTTGGAGTTGTTACTATACCTTGTCTTACCCCCCACGTTGTGACCTGTGAAAAACGCTATGGATCAAAAAACAGGATCTCCAGCCTGATAGTTTCATACTTTCCCTGCACTCATAGGAATACACAGGAGCTAGAGTTTGTTGCTTCGAGGATAGCATATTACTAGTTCTATATTAAGTGAGGTTTCCAATTTTGGAATGTGCAGAGAAACAAAAGGACAGAAACGTGAACAAAAAACACAGTGAAAAAGCATAACTGTCTGGGGTACCACAAAGCCTCTAATGCTAGGTGTAAATGGAGATCATCAGTGATTTGCTGCTGACATTGACCCTGCTTGACGTCTGAGCAATGTACCCCCCTCTAGGTAAGAGGGGGCACAACACAGAGGTTTAAGAGCCGGCCCTGGAGACAGTCTGTTGGGGCTCTTCTCTAGTCGTCATCGGCTGTGTGACTCTGGGCAAGTGACCGAACCTCTCTGTGTTTCATTTTCCTCATCTGTAAAGTGGGGCTAACTATTAACCTCCCGTGGGATTGCTATGAATAGGAAGTGAGTGGCTGATACCCAGGAACAGCACTATGAAGAGATTCGATAAAATAAATACACTGCACTGTGACCTCCTCACATCACTCCTTTCCTACTTTTCCACTTCCAGGGCATAGACGTTCATACAAAACAAAAGTGTCGGGTGACCGCATCATGGCTGGCAGAGCAGCCGGGCATCTGGTGACTTCCATCTAAACCTATCCCAGTGCCATGAGGGATGAGGTCATTTGTATTTTCCTTACCGTTTTAGCCAAGTCGCTGTCTGAATATTCCAGTTTTCTAAGTACATTTTGAAACTTGTGGCAGTCTAGAAAGAAGAAAATAACACCTATCATTAGCTTTAAAAATACCCCAAGTAATGGAAAGTCATCCCCAGAATTTCCCTGGCAGCCAGAGATGTGCTATTTCAACGGAGACTCCTCCGTCAAGAGTAAATCAGCTGTTCCATCCTACACAGTAAAATTTTCCGGTATTTGTAAGATTGACTTTGCACCAGAACTTGGCTTGCAAAGTCTTCATTTCCCTCAAAATTTATTTTCAAGTTATAGGAAGACTGCAGGAATGTCCTGTAGGTTCTTCTTCCACTCTAGTTTAAAAAAAAAAAAAATTTTTTTTTTAAGTCATCTGAGTTTTAAAACTAAACAGTCTCAAAGAGGCTTCACCGCAGGAAAAGTTTGATTGTGTCAATTTAGGGCCTTTCTGGAGACAGCCTAAAATGATCCATCATCATTCGCTATGTAACCGTCTATAAACTAGGTCTGTCTTGTGAACTTATTCTACAAATAGCCACTCAGGTTCAAATGTTTCCAGCTGTATTTAGAATACAACAATTAGAATTCTAATATTTAGAATATTAGAATAGTGAGCGATTTCATGCATGAAGGGGTCTCAGTACAAAAAAAAAGAAAACATCACCCAACTGGCAATGATACAGGTACCAAAGAAGAGAGATTCTAAAATAAGCCATCAAGTGGGTTTTTAATTAAATAAATGTTAATTAAAATTTTTCTTTCAAAAAGGTCTTATCAAAGGCTGGTATTACAAAGCATAAAGCAAACATTCAAGAACTGGAATTCCTAATAAAGGTGGAAGTGCCACTTTTTTCTATTTCAACCATAAGAAAATCCTAGCCCACACACTGACTGGCCTAACACAGTATGTTTGGAGAGGAGGAGAGAGGAGATGATGATGGATGGATGGATGGAGCTAGATAGATAGAGGCTAGATATTTTATTATGACTTTTTATTTCAAAAGCCTGAGGGTGTTATTTATGTCTGCTGGCAAATGTTATATGCACAGCTTCAATGTACCTTAGCTAAATCAGATTTCCTTGGTTTTCCTTAGCTCTTTGCTATGACCTTTACCGAATATGCAAACTCCCCATCTAGTTTTCCTTAGTAATAAGGATATAACTTCATAGCTTAGCCCTTTGCCCAGACCACATCCCACAGTGAAAGGACTGTGTCTTGGTGTACTGGTGGGCAGCCAAAGGCAAAAGGGAGCCTCTGGAAAGTACAAGTATCCACAGCGCTCCGAGGCAGCCAGCAGTGATCCAAGACTTTTGAGGAAGAGAAAGTTTCAGTGGGAAAAGGGAGCGAAGTCATAACACTGCCTCGGATCGTCATCTGTATAGAAAGGAGAACCTTGCAGATTATCTACACTGCTTTTCCAAAAATGAGAAATGGTTCTGGGGGCTGCAACTTGGTTTAAGCCAGTTAAGATGAAGAGACAAGTCAGGCATCAAGAAGGCGGAGAACATCCGCCGTGTCTCCTTCTGGCCAAGCGTCCATCTAGTGGGAAGCAGGTGGTCAGTCTCCACATTCCTGGTTTCTTGCTCTAAATGCACATTCCCCTCCTGCTCACTCTCCAGTGGCGCCCCGCCTGCCCTGTGGTGGGGGAAAACCACGACCAACAGCACATCTGAGTCACCTGGCTAGAGAATCAGTCCTTCTGTAAGTTGAGAACCTTGTCCTTACTCCCATCCAGCAGCAAGGAGGAAAGGGTCAAAGATGGAGCCTTCCACTCTGCTCACAATGCCAGGAAAACCAAGAATGATGTGCCCAAAAAGCCCACCTCTGAAGATGTCCTCATCTTCAGAGGCGTGGTCCAAGAACAAAGCCAACGAAAGACAAAAACCACACGGATTCGGGGCGCCTGGGTGGCTCAGTGGGTTACAGCCTCTGCCTTCGGCTCAGGTCATCATCCCAGGGTCCTACGATGGAGCCCCGCATAGGGCTCTCTGCTCAGCAGGGAGCCTGCTTCCCCCTCCCTCTCTGCCTGCTTCTCTGCCTACTTGTGATCTCTGTCTGTCAAATAAATAAATAAAATCTTTAAAAAAAAACCACACACGGATTCTAGTGGCCTAAAAGCTATGTGCCATGGCCATTCTTCTTAAAAGCAGCTGGATTAGAAATGTTTTAAAAGGGACCACAGAGAATGTTTGCAATATTCAAAATCTAAATACAGGAGCTTCCCGTCCGTACTCCTGACTGAAGAAAGTAGACCGTGAAACAAGAGAAAATGACATTTGTACTTTCTAGTTGAGAGAACAGGAATGTAAACCACAGAAAGATTTTCCTGGCTCTTTTACAGATTTCCGCATGTCATGCTTTGAACCTTTACAACTGTCAAGAAAGTGGGTATCTGTAAAAAGACAGGAAAAAATTCTAAGACGCAGGACGTCTAGGAGCCTGCTGGACCTGGGATGCCCCGATCGTTTTCCCTTGGACACTCTGAGGAAGAGCTCACAGGGATACCACTGAAAGCAAACCATTTGCTTTATTCCCCGTGGGAGCTTAATTCAAAAGTGTAATAGACTCACCTCGATTTTCCAGATGTTTAGGTTAGAAAGCAGATCCCAACAGAAATTTCCATCCTTATCCACTCCGCTGAACCCAAAGCCAGCTGCGTTATTCACTGCATCAGCTATGGTTTTTAAAACAACACATTAAGATATGGAACAAAAGTCACATTGCTGCTTTAAGAGATATTAAATGTCTGTCTAGCTTGACAGACATTGAGATGTTGATTGAGAGATAGGCAGTAGTTTCTCCTTGGAAAAGAAACGAAAACAATTGAAAGGACCTGGTACCATTATAAATCCCAGAAACCTTTTGCGCTCTTTGGTGGCCTTAATTTTTATTCATTCATTTGTATTCATTCACTAGCATTTAGTGTGCGCCTGCTTAGTAAGAAGGCAAGAGATCCTCCTACAACGCAAAATGAAAATAAAAGAAAAATGAATCAGAACAAAGCAACAGGAGTTAGTGACCCACTTGATGTAAGGGGAGATGTCTAAGCTCAGAAGCAGAGGCCAGAAGAAACAGGGAACTGAGGGGACTTGGACAGGTCCAAGAGCTGTCATTTAAAGATGGCATCAAATGAATGGCACAGCATTAAGTCAGGAGGAGAACCAGCTCTGAAAGTGAAATTGGAGCTCATTCTGGACGTATTAAGCATGACATGCCAGTAGGTATTAGCCGGGGCTGCCAAGATACAGTTAGAAAAGCTTAGAGCACAAGACAAAGAGCAGAGCTAGAGATGTGAATTCGGGGTCAGCCACCATGGAGACCACACATGGACCCAATTACCAAAGCATCCTACCCACACTCAGTTTGCGAAAGCTCCCGCTTCCATCTTTATTCCACTTCACAGAACTGTAAGAAAATGTCCCCCTGCCATGAGTATAATGTTTCTAATTCCTTAATTATGCAATGTTGTAATCAAATAGAGATCTGATGAAATCAACATACTTTTATTATGAAGACCAAAAGGTTAATTGTCTCTTTTCACTTAGTTTGTTAATTGTTAGAATATTTTATTTAAAAAATAAACTTCAACACCCCCAAAAACCAAGTAATCTCATTAAAAAATGGGCAGAAGATGTGAGCAGGCATTTCTCCAAAAAGGACATCCAGATGGCCAACAGACACAATGAAAAGATGCTCAACACCCCTCAGCATCAGGAAACTGCAAGTCAAAACAACAATGAAGTGTCACCTCAACCTGTCAGGACGGCTAAAAAAACACAAGCAGCAACAAGTGTCGGCCAGGGTGCGGAGAAAAAGGAGGCTTCTCGAACTGTTGGTGGGAATACAAACTGGTGCAGTCACCGTGGAAAACAGTATGGAGGTTCCTCAGAAAATAAAAATAGAGCTACCCTATGATCCAGTAATCACACTATTGGGTATTTGCCCCCAAAATACAAAAATACTAAGAGCTACACGCACCCCTATGTTTATAGCAGCATTATTTACAATAGCCTAACTATGGAATCAGCCCAAGTGTCCATCGATGGATGAGTGGATAAAGAAGACACACACACACACACACACACACACACAGAGGAATATTAGCCATAAGAACAATGAAATCTTGCCATTTGCAATAACATGGATGGGGTGAGGATTATAATCCTAAGTGAAATAAATCAGAAAGACAAATACCATTGATCTTAATCCTATGTGGAATTCAAGAAACAAGACAAACATAGGAAAAGAGAGACAAACCAAGAAACAAACTCCGAGCTACAGAGAACAAACTGATGGTTCCCAGAAGGCAGATGGGGTGGGGGGATGGGAGAAACAGGGGATGGGGATTAAGGCATGCCCTTGTCATCATGAGTGCCAGGTGACACACAGAAATGATGAATTACTATATTGCATACCTAAACTAATAATACTCTATGCTAACTACATTGGAATTAAAATAATAAAAAATAAGTAAGCTGGGGCGCCTGGGTGGCTCAGTGGGTTAAAGCCTCTGCTTTTGGCTCAGGTCATGATCCCAGCAGGGTCCTGGGATCGAGCCCCGAGTCGGGCTCTCTGCCCTGCAGGGAGCCTGCTTCCTCCCCCTCTCTCTCTGCCTGACTCTCTGCCTACTTGTGATTTCTCTCTCTCTGTCAAATAAATAAAATCTTTAAAAAAAAAAAAAAAAGTAAGCTAAATCACAGCACTCTAAGGTCTTAGATCTGGGGAGATCTTGGAGAACTCTTTCTTGAGGCTCTATTCATTCTTTCCAAATGAAGTTCAAGTCCAGCTCCAGTGACTTCTGAAGAGTTATTCTAAAGAAAAACGATGTGTTCTATGTTTGTCTCCTTTTCTTTGGGCACAGTTGGTGACTGCACACTGCTTATCTTATGCCTGGCTTGGAAATCATCTGGTTTCCTTCAGAAGGAAGGATGAGAAGTCCTGAGAGCCACTAGGTCATTCTCCCAAGCCGCCTGGATGGAACCCAGTGGAAAAGGAAAAGAACAACGAAGCAGGGCTGTGCCCGTTGAGGAACGAAGTTTTCAATGTGTGGTTAGAAACGGAGAGTGACAAGATGAGCTGAACCAGGAGAAGAGGAGCCCCTTTGGGGTCTGTGCTGGAGCTGAAAACCAGGGCTGGCCAGACGGTATGGGACCAGCAGCCCTTCAAGTCCTCCTCCTGCCTCCAGCCTCGCCTAACACCTGGAACCACCACCTCTCTTTTGGGGGCCTACAACCTTTCCAAGGACTTTACAAAACACTCAGCAGCCAGCCTCATTCAGCGCTCCCAGGGGTGAGAAGATGCTGGCTGAGAGGTGGGCTCTAGGGGCAGAGCCCCTGGCTTCTGTGTCTTCACAGAACGAACATTTGGCCTCAAGAGAGCCATCTGTCCTCTAGAAACCCATTCCCTTGGGAAGAAAATGAATGTTAGAGTAGTACCTGTCTTAAAGCCGCGTTGCAAGAGTTAAAGAAGTAATGAAGGGGGCTCGGAGCGCAGAGCCCAAGTAAGCCCTCCAGAAACGTTCACTGTTGCTCCCCCCGACCCATCTTGCCAAGGCTCAGTGAGGCCACCATTCAGATCACTCAGGTGGTAAACAGTGCCAGGCTCCGAATGCTAGAAAGGATTCTGATCCCGCCCCCTGAGGGGCTAGGAGTCACTCCGAAAGACAAAGGTTAGACCAGAATCGTGGTTCTCAGAGGCCGCGTGGAGAGGCTGGGAAATGTGTTTGCTCAGAATCATGTACTCCACCACCGTTTATCCAAGATGTGGTTCTTGTCTCTGAGCGGTTAGAGGTTCTAAGTTCACCAGCCCCAAACTGGCTTTACTTGTATCGTCTACTGTATCATTACAGATAAATTAACTTGGACGCCCGTACTATGGAGGCTGCGATCCTTCCTTGGAACACAGCCTGGGCTGAAGTTGAGTCTCACTAATTAGTACTAATTAGGGAAAAACAACCAGAATTGTACACTAAGCCCAAAGAAAATTGCCTTCATTATTTCAATATAAACAGTAACGAGAATGAGGCTAACACGGTGCAGCTCAGCCGAGATTCAAGAAGGGGCCAGCTTTAAGGATTAAATTCATAATCACGTATAATGAGTGCATCAATTATATACAAATGATGTTTTAAGGAGCTGGATAAAACAATTATTTGCTTAAGCGGTTTAAATAGTCCCTGTTAGGCTAGTCATTGCTTCCTTGTTCATAAATAATACAAAGGTTAATTTCAGACCGGCCCATGCAAGCTAAACCATAACAAAGTTTGAACTGAGGCCACACAAATTCATGAAGTATTTCTCCTGAGGCTGCCCCCCACCACAAAAAGAAGATAAAGGGAAGGGGGTATAGAAAAGAGCCAAGCCCACGGAGAAAACTCCCCACAGAAAAGGATACTCCCAGAATCTGGGGCACCCCCAAAAAACCAGAACAATCCCAGATCCCCCCCCCCCCCCCCCCCGCTGCCTAGAACCCCGCCCCCTCCCCATCCCCACCGGCACAACCCACCTCGAGTTAGACTTTCCCTAGGAAGCCACCCAGGGCCTTGCCTTCCTCCTAAAGCAGGAGCTGATTTAGTCCAGAAGCCAGCCCTTAAGCCCTAGGATACAGAATATGGGAATGGGAAAGGTAGGGAGGGGGAGAGAAAAGGAAGGGTAAGTGAAGACGTAGGAGGTAGCAAGGAGAGTGAGCTGTTATCTCTTCCTCCCTCCCTTTCTCTCTCTCTCATTCACAACCACACACACTCGGGTTAGAGCAAAGTGGAAATATTAAGTATTTCATGCAGGAAACTAAGCCTTGGTGCTCCAAGCAGGGTTCCAACCATAGTAAGTATCGTGCTTACCTACAGAAGAAATTACCATTCTTAAGTCATAAAGCAGGTGCACAAAGAGGAATAAGGCTTTTGAAGCCTTATTCTAAAACAGTCTATATTCATCATCCTCCCCCCCCCCCCCCCCGAGATTGCTGGCCTGGGGACAGCTCCCCACGTTACCGCCTGGTCAGTATGCCTGTCTCTGGGCCCGCAGACCGTTAACAATCTGATAGCAGACAAGAGGGCTTACCTTCGCATTCCCCCGCCACAGAACCCAGTATGTGACAAAAAACCCCCTGAACTGAACCAAAGGGGACAAACAAAACTTCCCACGCTGCACATGTTTTAAAAGCCCTCAGTTCCATCTTTCTGGCCAAGTGTGCCCAAAACACCCCACTAGACTGACTTCTCCCTGAACATTTCGACCTTTAAAAATCATTTAGCGCAGGACTTGGCAAGAGAGAGGAATTAGGAGTTATCTTTTTTTTTTTTAATAGGCACAGCATTCCTATTTGCGGTGATGGGAAATTCCGTTCTAGAGACAGACAGTGGTGAGGTGTCACAGCACTGTGAATGAGCTTCATACCGCCAAGTCGTAGACTAGAGAGGACTCAAATAAATTCTGTGTTCTAGCGTATCGCAATAAAAAATTAAAAATAACTTGGTAGCTACCAGCTTTAATTTGGGGATAAAAACTTGGAGCATGACAATGAGAGAAAAGGAACTCAATTAAGTGCTACGCCTTCACTCAGGGAGCACGGGCTGAGCACTAGGCACAGAATTTAATCATCTGTTTGACTTAATAAACCAAATCAGGGCTCCCTGACATCAAGCCCCAGGTCACCTTCAGCTAAGAACTTAAATTTCCATTCCTGAACTGCCGTGCCTTATCACAATCCTTCACCATTCCTGGCAAGTAAACAGGAGGACTTACTGCTCACTCCAGCAAAGCTTTCAACTTTTCCAGTTTAAAATTGTTCGTAAGGAAAGAGAGAAAAGCAAATCAAAGTCGAACTTTCTACCTTAAAAAAAAAAGTCACCTGAAGTCAGTTTCTAAGGCCTAAAGCTGGACCAACCATTTTTTTTTAACCAAGTTCTTAAAAAGAAAATGTGACCTAAGTCAGTACATGTGTTAGTAAGTTTAAAGCATGACCCCTCTGTTATGCACAACCCAGAAAAATGACAAGACGGCCAGATCATTCTGGAATTTCCCTTTCTAACTTTCCACTATACGACTGGGAAGCTTTGATTGGTGGAGGGCGCTTCCAAGTTTGGACACCTGCTAATAACACTGAGTCGAAGTGACCGTCAGGACGGCTCTGCTCTTATCACGGGTAATTGAGTTTATGGATGGCGGGACACAGGAGTGCTTTGGTGGAAAGTATAAAATGATACTGGCTGAGCTGCCTCCATCATGCACTGAACTTTTTTTGATTAAGTGATCCAAAATGCTGTTCTGGGTAGGCCCTCCCAGGAGTCTCACTTTTCCCTTATTCACTCGGGGCCGTTCCATCAGACGTACCTAATGTCCAGGCAAAGTAATACTTGGGCTTCGAAGCTTGCATGACAATATATAAGTAGCACAGTCGAGTCAGAAAGTTTGCTTTATGAACAAACCAGTCATCAGTCAGGCAGGTGATGGGGAAGGACTTCGTGAGCGTCAAAAACAGGAGGAGAGACACCAAGGTCATGCACAACTTGCGTATCACAGCTCTCTGAAAATGTGGAAAAAAATCAGTGTAACCAGGCAAGACTCCGGCATGAGGAAAACAATTTCAGCAAGGGCACACTAGGGACAAGCTGTTCCAATAGCTGCTTTGGTAATATTCCTTACGAGGAGTGGCAACAGGCATTCTTAGGACACAGATTGGGTCCTGACATAGGAGCTAAATGCAAATGAAGTCTATACCTTTGACACTTGAGGTCTGAATTGTATCTAAAATTGAAGGAAACTATTACCAGCACATTCTACCAACAAGAGGAAGGTAGGTTTTTTGTTTTTTTGTGTGTGTGTGTTTTTTTAAGATTTATTTATTTGAGAGACAGAGAGCATGAGTGGTAGGAGGGCAAGGGGCAGAGGGAGAGGGAGAAGCAGACTCCCCACTCAGCAGGGAGCCCAACATGGGGCTCGATCCCAGGACCCTGGGATCATGAGCTGAGCTGGAGGCAGATGCTTAACTGACGGAGCCACCCGGGCGGCCCAAAAAGGAAGGTAGTTTAATTACCCAAAACATAAGAGAGAGAGCATTACAGGGTGGCAATCTTCCATCGGAAAGAACCATTTGGCTTCCACTTCTGTCGCCAGCAGAGTCAAGGACATGGGTCTGAATCACCACAAGGAGGACAGAGGCTTAGCTCGGAAGGATTCCGTGCAAGTTCCCGTGCCTGAGCCGGGACATGAGCAGGTGATGGAAAGCTTCAGAAAGCCTTCAGGATGGTCTACATATAGTCTGCTCTAGCATTAAGATGTGCTGGCATTTTAAATGCCTCTGGACCAAGTGATTTTGCCCAGTTTCCCCAACATTCCAGGGAATGTCATTTAACAACAATAGAACTATAGTTCCCAACTTTATAAAAACAGCACACTTTCTGGGGCGCCTAAGTGGCTCAGTCAATTAAGCACCCAACCCTTGATGTTGGGTCAGGTCGTGATCTCCTGCGTCGTAAGATCAAGCCAAGGGTCAGGCTCTGCGCCTAGCGCCAAGTTGGCTTAAGATTCTCTCCCTCCCCCTCCGCCCCTCCCTCCCATCATGTTTGCAGTCTCTCCTTTACTCTCTCAGATAAATAAATGTTTTTTTTTTAAAGCCACATTTTCTTGTAATACAGGGAGAGCAACAGCACCTCCTGAGAGCAGCTTGAGGTTCAGGTGAATCCGTATTTGCAAGGTACCAAGAACAGCATCGGGCTCCCAGTCAAGTGCTCACCATGCTTGGTTGGCCGTGACTGCTGACAACACACTGGGGAGGTACCAGCCTGGGAGTGCCAGGCACCTCCCACTAATGTGTCTTTACCTAAAATACCACCTGACCACGTCCCTCTCTCTGTGCAAGAAAATGCCAAGAGTCTCCCCGGGGAGTGATATTAAGACTCCGTGATCATACTCTCAGGAACACGAGAGCACTACCATGGTAGATTCTGCCAAGAAACACCTGTGAGTACTTCGATGCCCCCACGGCCATGGTGACCTCACTCCCACACTGTTTCAGTAACACAGCAAGAGCTGAGACCGCTGACAACCTATACACTGTGGGAGACCCGGCTGTGTCAAAACCAGCTGAAAATTCACGCTTAGTAAGTCACTTAAATTTTCAAATAGTAATTTTGCCTAGATCTTAACAGTTACAAAATATTTAACTCAATTATCCTGACTCTCCTTTTTCCAATTTTCCCTCTTCCTTCAACTAATTACCAACTTCCCTTAAATATAGGATATTGGATCTGAATAAATTTAGCGTATTTGTGACGTTCAACACATTATCCTTATGTTAACTAATTTGAAATCAATAAAATTCAGGTTAAAATTTTAAAAATTTCCCCAAAACCATCTTAAACTCTCGAAGTCAGTAAAACCAGTCTTTAAGAGCATGCCAACATAAAATTGGTTTCCCACATAAGAAGCAGGCTCTGAAATTAAAAAAAAAAAAAAAATCAGGGGCGCCTGGGTGGCTCAGTGGGTTAAGCCTCTGCCTTCGGCCCAGGTCATGATCTCAGGGTCCTGGGATCGAGCCCCGCATCGGGCTCTCTGCTCAGCGGGGAGCCTGTTTCCCACCCCCGACCCCGCCTGCCTCTCTGCCTACTTGTGATCTCTCTGTCAAATAAATAAATAAAATCTTAAAAAAAAAAATCACATTTATTCTGGTTTCCACTCCCTCCCCATTCCCCTTTCATGACATTATCCTTTGGCTGGATATGAATTTCTCTTCATAAAGACAAAAAAAACCCCTCATAAATCCAAATGTGCTAACTAGCATAGTGCTGAGCACACTGTAAGCATTAAATATTGGCTAGCTGACCTAGTGGATAGATTGCTTTAATATTTCAGGCCCATGAGCTCGGCTGTGAGGCAAACGGGGGGTTGGGTTGGTAGGGGAGGAGTTCCTGGCCAAGCTTTCTGGTAAACGGTTTGGCTTTTTAATTAGAACAATTACTAGTGAGAGTCAGCACTGGCAACAGAGCTCTGTTTTTCCGAAGTTCTGGGTAAATAATTAGCACTAGCCACTTACAGTGGGAGAAGGCTCGGGCAGGCTGTGGAAACCTCTCTGCTTCCAGTTCACCTCCAGCAACTTCGTGTGTATGTGTCTCCCTTCAATAAAGGCTATATAATCCTTGAAATTGTTGCAAGGGCCAGCTATGACACTCATGAAGTTGAGAAGGTAGCTTAAATATTCCAAGAAAGAGGGTTTTACTCTGTGAAAATAAAGTTAAAAAAAAAAAAAAAGTTGAAAATCCTTCAGTCTCGGATTTTTCTTTAAGATCCGCAGGAAAGCCAATCCTAAACATAGGCATTTTCTTGGTAGATGATGAAACAACACATGGTCTTTCTTTGTCCGGGTTCTCTAAAAATCCCCCTAAGCTAGAGACCTTGCAGAAAGGAGACGGTGGGTGGCTCAGAGAAGGCGTGGGGCTCCGTGGCGCCCTCTGCTGGCCGACGGCGGCTATAGACACGGAGGGCGAGGTCCAGGGTCATGCTGAGGCTGGGAAGTGCTCCTTCTCAGCAGCCCTAACTGTCAGCAGAAGAGAATGAAGGTAATAAACATGAGGCAGGGTGGGAACCTGACCTAATGTGAGCTGATCCAGATGCTATGAAACGGGAAAACTCCCTCCCAACTGCCAAAATAAACACAAAAGCAAATGATGGGTGGAACCAGTTTCCATTTGAAGAGGACACACAAAACTACCACTAGAGCAGTCTCGAGTCTGCTCCGGCATCCGGGCACGAGGTCGCCAACCACAGGCACAAGTAGTAGCAGGGAAAAATTCTACAGAGACCAGCTCTAGGTGGTGTTTTAATCACATTTAAAGGGGCAAGATAGTATTGTGGGGAAAGTTTCCCCCAAATGCCATTGCTAACCAGTCACTGGAATTGTGCCCTACATTTACTCCCCCATAACTCTGAGCAAAGAATCTGATTCATTTGTCTCTTGCAGTGAGTCTCCATGGCTTCCAAGTCTCAGTCTCTTAATGTGAAAACGAGGCACTCAATCTCTGTACCACTCAGGACCCTCTCTTCCTTATCCCTGACTACCTCCTGGAATTCTCCTATAGGAACCCTCCACCGTGGCTGCCCGTCCTTCCCCGATGTGCTACCCCACAAGCCATTTCCATTCCCTATCAATGCTATCCTCCTCCCTTACAGCCGCCCTTCCTCTCCAACATCCGCACCAGCCACAGTCTGCCTTCAGCCTGCCTCCTGTCTCCTGTCTCCTCCAGCCCTACTTCCTAGCCGTCTTCACAGCAGCATTTAATCATACTGATGTGCACTGATAACTGTTTCTTGAGGACCCTCAGACACATGCCCAATAAAAATAACGGTAATAGACCTAACAACAGCAGTGAAGAAGAATCTGGCAAAACTAACAAAATTACAGACCTGTCTACTCTCTGTCCCAGCAATCCTGCTTCTGGGACTCTATCCCACCACTATACGCAAACCTATTTAAAATGACTTAGGAACAGGGTTTGAAAAGCCAAAGATTGGCAGATAACCCAAGTATCCATCAATAGCTTCATTAACAAGCAATAATACATCCATATAGTGGAGTTAGTCCATATTAAAGAAATGAGGAGGGTTTCTAGACGCTGATATACAAAGGGCTCAAGAATATATTGTTACACTTACTTTACAGCAAGTCGATGTTGCTCAGCAGAGAGGTCTTCAGCTCTTCGACCTAATCCTATAAAAAAGAAAAATGTAGCAATACAATGTTTGAAGTAGAAAACTCCAGAAGAGGCTTATAAAAGTCATTTGGGAAAAAAAGTGATTTATGTCACATTTTATTTATTTCATGAATCATAAAATCATATTTTTTTTCCCTAATGCTCTGGAATAGTTAGCCACAAGCGCACATGTGAGGGGGAAAGTTTGCCGGTTCTCGTGAAGAGGGGAGAAAGCAGGGCTTACTCCTATTTAAACTGCACGGTAGGACATAGATCCCAGAAAACTCCCCACATCTCTTCTGCTCCTTACCAAAGTGCATTATATTTTCACTGCTACAGGAGAGGGAGAGAGAGAGAGAGAAAGAGAGAGACCTGCCTTTGCACCCTGCACCAGCTCAAAGACCTCCCTGATTATGCCAGCAGCAGACACCTGCTACCAGCTGAAAGCGTGGGTTTGGAATGGGGAAAGGAACAGGGGACTTTCCTCTTCTAAAAAAAACAGGAAATGTACTCTTGAATGCAGGGAAAGTACAAGACTTATGAGGTGATTCTTCTTTTAAAATTCGTCCATGCCAGGAAAAAAACAACAAACAAACCCAAATCACCTTTGCACTTCTCATAAAGTTTATATGTTAATTTACAACGGCAGAAATTGAAGTGTTATCTAATAAGCTATAAACATTGGACTACAAAGCTGTACATCCCCTAAGACCGATGGTGGTCACCAAGCATAAAGACATTTCAGAAATATGCATATAGGAAGACTGGGTTTCTGGAATTTGTTTGTTCCTACTACTCACAAGAAAAAAAGAAATGGCAAATAAACATCTTGCTGCACATAACGGTTTTTCCAGAAAATTGGGTAAACTGAGAATGCTTTAAAAAGTAAATTCAGGCAAAAAGCCTATTTAAAAAAAAAAAAGGCAGTGTTTAAAAAAAAATCACACTTTCTTTCTAAGATGTCAACAATACATCTCTAGCAAATCTAGAACTTAAATTGATTTTAGCTATTGGTTTATGTGCTAATGTTAGTCTATCACCACTACCAACTAGACTTTTAGGTACAAAACATTTAGCAGCACACCCCGGTTTGCCTTGGACTTTCCCAGTTTGGGCCCTAAAAGTCTCATGCCCTGGGAAACTGCTCAGTTCTGGACAAACCAGGACAGTCAGTCACCCTAGAAAGACTCTGTCTTTGGTATAAACTTACCAGTTCTCTACAGAACGACTAAATCGCCAAGTATGAACTAGGAATGTCCAAGGTCAAAACGAAATTAAATCAGCTTTAAAGAAAAATGAGACTAGCTAAGAGAGACTATAAATCTTCTCAACCTGTTCACACGTAAAGGAGCTTCAACAGTCTGAAAGCATTTGCAGGAGTGGTACAAATCCGTAGATATCCTCCTACTAATTGTACATGACATCTCTTACGCCCACATTGAAATCCTCCACCCCGGCTGAAAGTGCCGTCCTCCTTCCCTGGAACCAGGTTTTCATCGTGTAATTCACACTTTCTGGTCATTTTCAGAAAGGGCAGGAAGAAGGATATGTTTAGTTTTATACTAACAGAAGATTCTTCCTTCTCCCGAGGAGAAGGGTCAGGCTAATCTCATTAGATGATTTTCCAAGCCAAACAAAACAAAAACACTAAACAAGACAAAACTAGCATTAAAAAAGAAAAAAAAAAGTTAACCAGCCAATACTATCCTTTATTACCTTGTGAGCGTCTCAGATTAAACCAAAGAAAAATGATGCCGTTTCTTCCCAAGGGATTTGGAAACGAAGGGCAGAGAGCACCATAAATTTAAAACATTATAAAGGTAAACAGAAAACCAGCTGTTCTCGGTGTAAATACTTCAGCCAATTTAGATTACAGAAATAATAGCTGGGAAAGTAAAAAGCATGATTAGAGAAGCTTGCAAATTTTTGACAAGTTATAGAAGATGTGCCAGCCCTTGGCTAAACTCTGGACTACGGTGTATAGTCTAAACGAAGAGCTCTGAATGTCGGGCTCACTCTCGGAACCAAAAGGAGAGTTGTTTTTCTCACCATCATGAACTTGGAATGCCAAGGTCGTGATCTTCTGCGTGACAATCATCAGAGGCCTAAAAGGAAGATAGAAGAGAATCGATTGGCAGAAGGACCACTAGAAGAAACATTTATTCTATTTCTCTGCATGGTAGTTGTTCATCTCAAAGGCTCTTCAATATCATGCAAAAAAACCCAAAAAACAAAAAACGGAATTAAAAAATTCCCTTCCAAATCATTTTAGATAAGTAGATACAACAACACTGAATGAGAGGACACCAGAGAGCCCCTCTTGCACAGTTACTCCACATGTGAGTTCCAGGACCAGCACCGTGAGCATCTTCTGGGGCTCATTAAAAGTGCAGACGCTCCATTCCAGAACCAGAAAACGAGGACCTGCGTTTTAACAAGACCTCCAGGGAAACTCACATGTGCATTGAAGTATGAGCAGCCCCCGTCTGGGGGGTACCTCATTCAGCACCCTGGCTCCACCTGGATGAGGTCCATATTCTGGCTTTTTCACCCTAATATGTTCTAACCTGTGTTATTCTGTTGAAGGCAATTCTTCCGAGCACACATAGTAAGATACTTCTGTAAAATGCGGCCACCTGTCCATAAACCGTTAAGCAACAAAAAATAAGACAGATTCTCATTTGAAAAAAGAGATCAAATAAAAACTTGTCTAAGACATGGCACCCATGCCAACAAGAACACCAATTCAACAGAGGCAAGAATAGCTTTTTTAAAAATAAAGATTTTCATTTATTTATTGGAGAGACAGAGACAGAGGCAGAGATAGTGAGAGAGAGCAGGAGCAGGGAGGAGAGGGAGACGCTGGCTCCCCACTGAGCAAGGTGGGGACTCGATCCCAGGACCTTGGGATCATGACCTTAGCTGAAGGCAGGCGCATAACCCACTGAGCCACCCAGGAGCCCATAGCCTTTTAAAAGTGATGGCACAACTAGATAGCTACATAAAAAGAATTAAAAAAAATTTTTTTAATGTACCAAAGTTCTAAGTATAAGAGCTAAAACTATGAAACTCTTAGAAGAAAACATAGGCATAAATCATGAACTGAGATGTGGTGATGGTTTCTTTTCTTTTTTTTTTTTTTTAAGATTTCATTTATTTATTTGACAGACAGAGATCACAAGTAGGCAGAGAGACAGGCAGAGAGAGAGGAGGAAGCAGGCTCCCCGCTGAGCAGAGAGCCCGATGCAGGGCTCGATCCCAGGACCCTGAGATCATGATCTGGGCCAAAGGGAGAGGCTTAACCCACTGAGCCACCCAGGCGCTCCGGTGATGATGGTTTCTTAAATGTAACACCAAAAGTACAGGTAACAAAAGAAAAATGTAGATTGAATGAATATCATTAAAACTTAAAACTCTGTGCTTCAAATGACACACACCATCAAGAAAGTGAACAGACACTTCATAGAATGTGTGACTATATGTGCAACTCATACGTCCGATACAGGACTCGGTACTAGAATATATAAAGAACTCTTACAATTCACTAAGAATAAGACAATAACTCAATTTAAAAATGGCCAAAGGAGCTGAATGAACATTTCTCTGAAAAAAAGATATTCAAATGGCAAATTAGCAGATGAAAAGATGCAATAATCAGTCGTCAGAGAAATGGAAACCAAATCATAAGGCATTTCACAAGCACAAGGACGACCAGAATCCTGAGGGTAACGAGTGCTGGTCAGGAGGTGGAGAACTGGAACCCTCATACTTTGCTGGTGGGAACATTAAAAGGTCCAGCCACTTCAGAAAGTCTGACAGTTTCTTTTTCTTTTTTTAAAGATTTTATTTATTTGCAAGAGAGAGGAGACACAGCGAGAGAGAGAACACAAGCAGGGGGGAGTGGGAGAGGGAGAAGCAGGCTCCCCGCTGAGCAAGGACCCCGATGTGGGGCTCGATCCCAGGACCCTGGGATCATGACCTGAGCCAAAGGCAGATGCCCAACAACTGAGCCACCCAGGCGTCCCAGTCTGGCAGTTTCTTAAAAGGTTAAGCACAAAGTGACTGTATAAGCAAGAAATTCCACTCCTAGATATATACTCATGAGAAATAAAAATCTATCTACACAAAAACTTGTACACACCTGTTCAGATCAACATTATTCGTAACAGCCCAAAAGGAAATAACCCCAATGCCCACCAACTGATGAACGGATAAATGAAATGTGGTATGTCTATATAAATAGAACATTATTCAGCAATAAACAGTCAAGTACTAACCTGTGATTTGGATGGACCTAGAAACCGTCATGCTAAGTGAAAGAAGGCAGACATAAAAGTCCTATGTTGTAGGATTCCATTTATATAAAATAGCAGAATAGATATATCCATGGAGAAAGAAAGCAGGTTACTGGCTGCCTAAGGCTGGAGGAATTGGGAGGAAATGAGGGCCGATGGCTAATGCACACAGGTTTCTCTGGGGGGTGATGAAAACGTTGTATTAATTACACTAATGGTTGCACCTGTAAATCCACTCTGCGAATTTGCTCAAAACCACTGTACTGCCTTCTCCAGATAGGTGAACTGTAGGATAAGTGAATTATATCTCAACAAAGCTGCAATTTTTATAAACAGCATCTGTTTTTAATAGTCCACCCCCATTTAGTGCCCTTAAAAATTCCATTCTTGCCCAACCAGACAAAGACCAAACCTTACCGCTCAACCATAACGTCCTTCAATCCTTCTTAGTCTAGCCTGGTTTTCTGATACACACTGTTGAGGTTTCCTATTGAATTAGCTGTCTCTGACCCCTCTGGACTGATGGCTCATTTATGTAGATGGTGAAAATAGCATCCCTGGGATGAGCCTGGGATGCCACACTCCCCGTGAGCTCAGGCCAAGTGTGTGGGAGGATGGCATGTGGCACAGACCATTTTAGGCCAAGTCTGATATGTGACAACTGCACTCTACCTCTTGCCTGTGAGTCCTTTTTCCTCCTTAATTCTTCCCCTTCTAGTTCCCATTTTCCATCTCTATAAAATAATACGCATGCGGGGCACCTGAGTGGCTCAGTTGGTCAAGCGTCCCACTCTTGGTTTCAGCTCAGCTTATGATCTCAGGGTCGTGAGATCGAGCCCAGCCAAGAGCTCCTCACTAAGCGTGGAGTCTGCTTGCGATTCTCTCCCTCCCAACTGCCCCTCCCCTGGCTCATATACATTCTCTCTTCCAAATAAATAAAATCTTAAAAAATAATAAAATAATAAAATAATCATGTAACATGTTTAAACTATCAATATAAACTAATAAACTATTTTAAAGTACCAACAAATACCTTTTGAAATCTAAACACTCATGCCCAACTTTGTATCTTATTGGCGAAAGCCCAACGGCCACTTTTTGAAACAAGGTTCTTAATATCCCACAGGATGCTAGCAGAAGAGAAAGGGAGTCCGACTGTGGACAGATGGGAAGGACTGCCGTGCTCTACCAGGACTAGGTGACAAGGAGGTGTGGCAAAATAGGGAGCCATCCGGCTCATTCGAGCACAGCCAGACATGCCCGTCGTTGACACAGGTTGTGACTGTGCTCCTATAGACTGAAAAAAATAACTGTTCCTCCAGAGCACTGAGGCTTGGGTCTTAGAATAAGAGCTACAGGGAAGCTTTCTACAACAACGTGGTCTTACAGACCAATATAATTTTGCATCTCACCTCCTGATGTCCAACAAGACTTTGACTCAGAATGTACAACAGATGCTGAGAGCTAGTTTGTTTTTGTTTTTGTTTTTGTTTTTTTTGTTTTTTTGAAAGGGGTTCACTCTAAGTGTCCCATTCAAGGTAGTTTCCAAACATGACTTTCAAAACACAATGTTTCTTTCCAAAGCCTTTTTAGCTTTTTTTTTTTTTTTTTTCCCTGCAAGATCAAAAGTCCTAGAAATCAGTAATAGGACCTAAGCCCCCCAGCTTCCCTTACACAAAGTCCAGTACGACATTTTAAAAAATGTGAGGCCCACATCTTGGCGACTATGCAATGTGCAAACCAAGTAAGTTCCTACTTTCCATTTAATTCTTAACTTCAGTTTTTAAAGGGTCTAAAAAAATAGATATATCAAAAAAGAAAATGTTACGAAATTAGCCTACCTTTCTGTCTTTATAGAAATATAACGTTTGGGGGCGCCTGGGTGGCTCAGTGGGTTAAAGCCACTGCTTTCAGCTCAGGTCATGATCCCAGGGTCTTGGGATCGAGCCCCGCATCGGGCTCTCTGCTCAGCGGGAGGCCTGCTTCTCTTCCTCTCTCTCTCTCTCTCTGCCTGCCTCTCTGCCTACTTGCGATCTCTGTCTGTCAAATAAATAAATAAAATCTTTAAAAAAAAAAAAAGAAATATAACATTTGTTTTCCTCTATCTGGCATTACATTTAATGTATTTCATATTAAGGCTCATGTTCAAAGATGCATTAAGTAGTCTCATATATGCAACGGCCTTGAGCAGAAGTCACTCAAATCTATGGGTTCTGGGGGCGGGGACATCAACGATTAGCTCCTGCCGATTCGACCTCCAACTTCACGCTGGGGCCACACCCCCTCGAGCTGCGCCAACCAATGGCAGAGCGTGCCAGTCAATGAACTCGCTGAAATTGTTCTAGACCTGCAGCGCCTTCCTTCCTTCCCTCCCACTCTCATCTCGTGGGTCAGATGTGCATTTTAATCTGAGGGCTGTTCCGGCCTCTCCAGCTCCCCTCACAGGCATTTCACATGACAAATCTCTTACTCCTGTTCCCATCTTAGCATCTGCTCCTCAGAGAACCTGGCCGAATACAATACATAATATGGAATTTCTAGATCATGGTCAATAAATAATTACTTATGGGGCGCCTGGGTGGTTCAGTGGGTTAAAGCCTCTGCCTTCGGCTCGGGTCATGATCCCAGAGTCCTGGGATCGAGCCCCACATTGGGCTCTCTGCTCGGCAGGGAGCCTGCTTCCTCCTCTCTCTGCCTACCTGTGATCTCTGTCTGTCAAATAAATAAATAAGATCTCTTAAAAAATAATTATTATTATTCAATATGAAGTCTGCACTATTGGGTCTAGGTAAAATCTTGTATTGTTGTCA